ACTCATATATAACAAAATCAAAACGGCCTGAACAACCCAAAAGCAAAACAGTATGAACGGCGTTGGACAGGCTCCACGAGTTGCGCCGTGCATTTGATCCATCCCTCATGGTATGATTCGAGGGACATTCGAACGCACTTCCGCCTGAAGAGTAATCGACGGCAGCCCATGTCAGGGTTTTTCTCATAACAGAAATACTTGCCATAGATCCATCACCCTGCACGGTAGATTCGGGCTTGTTCATATGCAAAAACTGCGATGCATTGCTCTCCGCCCTTACTGTATCTCCACTTCCTTTACGGTAGGTAGGCAAAAAACGTGAAATCCAGCTCTGAAGAACAGAGCATGTTTGTGGGAGCATTTGTGCCTATAAGCGACAAATCACTAGAATTCGCTTCCATTGACCCTGAAATACGGAAACATTCTCACCCCTCTTCTGATAAATGGCAGCTGGGAATCGTATACCAGTTTCGTCCAATACGTATCTTTGGTAGAAAAGAATGATATATGTGGGGCGTCGGAAATTTGTGAACAACGGAGTCCAGACCTTCAAAAGCGGAACGTAGTGCGCTGGCATTCCCTTACGGTGGAAGGGGAGGGGGGCGTATTTGGCCACTGAAGGATAGTCACATTTGGAATGAGAAGATCTTCCCTATCGTTGACTTTCCCATTTCAGAGGAAGGCGCCATGTCAGGAAGTGCGGAATGAGCCGCCGGTGAATAGGGGGAAGTAGTAGTGAACAAAGGAACTTTGCTGCCGTATTTCGGAAACTTTGCCCTAACGTCAGGACGTGCCCTGATTGGGAGAGTAATTGTTCAGGAACATATAACAGAGTAAATGGAGGGGCGGAGAAATGAGCAAAAACTCATAACCACCATGCCTTTCTCATCGATAATCCACTCTATCACATATCGCTAGATGGTATTTGATGGGAAAGATGGGGAAGTGGTCCAGCAAAGAAGGCACAGTGTTTGCAAGTTTCCACCCATTTCTCCGGTTATCGCGAAATGTGTTGGTGCGGCACATTTCACGATTAAAGGCGCGATTGATATTCGTGGTCTAGTGGTGCTGAACTAGCGATGCCAAGATGCCAGCAAAGTCAATAGTGCGAAAAAAACAGAAGAAAATGATAGCAAACGCCCCAATGAAACCCTTCCGCGAGCACACTTGCACGAGTAGACGAGGAGGGTGACTGGACGAGATCACCGTGCGAGTGCTGCTGTGGTCGATGTGGTTGCAGCATTGTTCACAGCTGATTTCCTCTTGTCAATAATGTCTCTGCCCGAGGTTTTGGCAGGTCTCTCTATCATTATGGGACAGTCAGACGGCGGGAGGGGTCTTATATGGGGGGGGGTGGGGGTGGGGGGCAATGGCTTCTGCGCAATGAGGGTAACAAAAAATGGTTCTCTGCGCTCCTCAATTACTTTTCGCGAGAATAGGGTGCAACCGCCTGCCATTCGCTCCCTCCACGAACCTGTGTGTTGCTCACGAGAGTCAGGGCAGAGAGGAGATGTCATGATCGCGGGCAGTGCCTTTAAGTCATAGGCAGCGGCGTTGAAAAAAACTGAAGGTATGGGGCCAGTTAAATCACATGGGGAAAGAAAACACGGATTGTCGAAAACGCCTCAGACAAAGCCCTCCTTGTTTTAAGGGAGGGACGAAAGCTTTATGTCATTTCAAGCAAGAGAAGCAGGTGGTCATATCAACATGAGAAAAGACAAGTACTTTTTCGGAGGCGGGTGACACTCGCTCAGGATGAACCACGAGGTAACTCTCCTCCTCAAGGTTGCGTTCATACTTCGCGGCAGCGCAACGCTACCGTAAACTGCCGCAAAGTATGAACGCAGTCCTGGTCCCTAGCTACATTTTTTAGGTGAAACGTATGGAATTATCCAATGCGACCCTAGTGATTTTCCGCACAATTCCCGGTTCTTACAAGTAATCGCAAAATGAGGCTTCAAATTCACGAACGGGAAGCGTTCAAATTCCCCTTAGTACTTCTCGCTTTAAAGCTGTGCATAACTGTTTCGCGTTGCACTCCACTGTCGGGCAAACGAGAGCCTATACCGAAACCCACACTTCCCAGATCTTATTCGCTGGAGCGCCGAGGTGTGAGGAGGCCGGATTTGGCACGGCGCAGCGCGAACCCTCCCCACCCTGAATAGTCCCACTATTCGGCGAACTGAAGCTGATACATTCTGCCCCAAACATATGTTCTCCCGTGCTGTTGAGAGGGTAAAATCGTTATTAACGGGTAATGGAAACGGGGCTGGCGCCACGTTAAACCTAGCCTACCGGTCATGCCAAATCACCCGTAGGGTACGAAGCAGCCCATTCGATCCACCTTCACCTTCACTTTCTACCATATTCTCGCTAACGATTTGTTGCTAGCAAAAGAAATCCGCTGAATTCTCACATGTACGGTAGCATAAGACTTGTCTGTCCACATAACTTCAAAACGAAATTTATAACAAAGAATAGGATCTAACAAAACCATAACAATTTCTCAACATACAACCACATTGTAGCAGTTATTGAGTTCGAGAGAGACATACGAGCGAACAGCGGGTATGAACCGCTAGAAATATTCCAAATCTCTGAGATGCGTCAAGCGTGGCTACTTATTTCACGAACTTTGCGGCAGCTGCTTTTTTGAGGGGGTATTTTCACTTTGAAAAATTGTAATCATGTCTTTGTTCAGCACAAGACACAGTATGGCAGTTGCCTCAAATTGAACTACTTCACGAAGGACCCTCTACAATGAAGTATGCAGCCACGCTTACCGTGCCTCAGGGATGTGGAGTGTTCCTGCAAACAGACGGATATAGGACTCTTTCATTCACATAACTCCAGGAAATAGTAGAGCTGAGCGTTGGGGCCTGATTTGCTTTCATACGTTGAGTTTTCCTTGAAGACTGCCACGTATAATGTCCACCAGCGCATCGAACTCTTTCACTCTTTCGGTATCCATGTCGGCTTCCTTAAAACAGTGGCAATAATGTGATCCAATAGTTAGCATATCTTCTATGATGGCTCCAAATTCTGCAGCGAACGTGTTGGAAAGCTGACCAAGTGCACAGCCAGCTAGCTTTAAAGGCGCCCTAATCAAACGTGGGAAGGTGCTGACAGGTAATGCGCACTGCCTAGCTATGGCTGCTGGTGCAGCGTTTCTGCGCCTAAAGCGTGATGGTTAGGCACAATTACAAAAAAATATTTAACTATCACACTTCCTGATGACGAAAGTGGCACACTTCGAAGACTGCTGGCCTGTTCACCTTACTAAGGAAGCATCCACTTCCCAGGTAAGCGTATGGCGCGTCTCTCACGCGGTATTGCAGCTGTACATTGACTCAAGTATCCAAAAAAATATAGGCGGGCTCGTGCGCACTATGAACGTGACCCCCACAGCCGCCGGTGACTTGGTACCGGGCTTGTCTAGGAGGTCACACCTACCAGCTTCTGCAAGTCATTATTTCCGATGAGGGTGGCTATGTTTGCCCAGAGATTACCGCGGAACATCATAAACAGGGTGAACTTGGATTGCAGAAAACACGCTGCCTGTGGACAAATTCATACGAAATTTGCTCACCTGAACCGTGTGCCTTTGGATGAAATTACCCAACTCTTCAGCTGCTATAGCAAACATTACTGGATTTCTATCCCGAGTTACCTAGAATTTGGATATTTTGAGACAACCGAATCATGGAGAAAATGCTGAGACTCCTAACGCACTAACCTTCTCATCTCGTACAGCAGCAGTGTACTCTCCCAGTAAGGTAGTGTACTGAACATAATGCTGCTCTTCTAATAAAGAAGCTTGTTCTTTCGAAAGGCTGCGGATTTGCGACATTATTTGCTCCTGGACATATAACCACACTTGCTCAAATCAGAAAATTGCAAGGGTACACTCGAAGAACTAGTGGAAACCTTTGGAGCAACACACTATATTCACACGATAACATACTCACCCGCATTCGCCCATTCCGCAATTCGTCATTTGCCATCACTGTGGTTCCTCTCGGCGTCGCATAAGCAGCGCGAGTATTCTATGCCTATAAAATCGAGTGAGATCAACGTTACGGCTACGTTCACAATCTAGCCAGTATTTCCTCACCGGTTGACGTACTGAAAAAGGTTCACGCTAAACCAGTCACTCAGGTCCTGGTGCGAAAGCCGCGCACGCGAGACCACTTGTGACGTCGCCGCTACGTGGATCTCCTAACCGTTCACCACGACAAAGGGATGACCAGAGCATTGATCTTTCCGTTACATAAGTTACCTGTCCCCGATAGCTGAGTTCAGATATGATCCAATTAGCAGCGTTTTTGCGAAGTTGACATCGCCCAAAGAGTACTGTTCATAGTGCACCAACAGATCTTCAAAGCTGAAAATGTTAGAAATGAATCAGCTACTATTCTACTTCACAAATGTTGGATTAAATGGCAAAAATGGGCCAAACACGGCTTTTCCATGCATTTCGCAAAAATCGAACACCAAAACGTGAATGAACCCACAAAGGCATGAACGCATCCAGACCAGCGACACGACTATCCATCCGAAGGCAAAGACGACCTTCGATCGCCGCCTGAAGAAATGCACTTCACCACCTCGCCGACAGAAAAATCTAATGGTCTTACCTTTTGAACATAACCACTTAGAATACGCGAATAGCACGACGCGATCACATCATCGGCCAATACTTCCGGACCTGAATAACTAAGCGTCTGCCAAGTTCAGCTATAGAAGTACAGAAATATTCCTCACCGATCAATAAAACTTCCGCTAAACGAACGTAAACGTCATTAGGCTCTGCAAACGCCAGAAAAGCTGTTAGCCTTTCGTCATGCAATAGAAGGGTCCATAATAGGGCAAGGCGAACAATATCTGTATCATCTGCACAAACTTCGCTGAAATGATCCTGACTTAGGTCCAGAACTTGAGGAAATGTTGGGCCAAGAGTTTCTCTAGTAGCCTAGAGAGGCGCTTCACTTACCCCTCTCGCTTATGTACAGCGTCCAGAACTCGACGTACAGGAACTAATGTCCACGAGCCGTCGACCAAGGGGTTAACTCCATTCGCGAATTGGAAAAACGTCTGTTCACCAGACTTCCTTCAAAAACGGAAACTCTTTTGGCTGTGGTGGATAACATAGGTGAAGGTAACATACACTTCTTCGAGATAAAGCTCCTTGATGTTGTCGATTCGTGATCGCGCAAGTTCCAGGAGAGGGTCTGCACGGCTGAAATCAATAATTTTATCAACACACAGGGATGGAAGGGTGAAACGCTTGTATCTGCTCGAAACACGTCCAGTAGAACCATTC